ATATCTTTTAGTCTGGTTAATTCTAGTCTTTATTCTTTTTAATTGATACTTCGTATTCAACAAAACTGTCCCAATGGACCCATCACTTTCTCAGCGGTTTTTGTAATAAATAAAGTCCGTTCTATTTGTGTTACAATGATTGTTCCTTATACGGTTTTGATTGCGCTTTCGAATGATGCTATTTTTATTTTAATCGGAGCAAAAATAAGCGAGTTATAGAGGAAGAAATACAAAAATGCAAAACATTGGGACAGTTTTGTCCCTCACTGTATTTTTCAAACTACTGTAGTTCTACGCATCCTCCCCGTGGCCAGTCACACATTCTGCTTTTCCTTGGCCCCTTATACTACTCCTTCATCTACTAGCCGCGGTATAACCTGTCGTATCCCACGTTGAATAAGAGTCAATAAGCAGTGTTTACATGTCAATAACAAAAGTTCAGTAACATAAACTGACCAATCATAATAATAATTACAATTCTATATAATATGTGTAACTATCAGTTTTAACACTTTCATCTTTATTCTTCCAAATAAAAGAAACGTAAAGAGTCCTATTGTATCTCTGTCCATTACAACCATAACAACATCACATAACCTAGTGAATGTTCAAACTTCTAATGGTAGAAGAGGGTCTCCCTAGAGGAGTCTCTTGTTTCTCATAACGACTTCGATATAATTCGTTACCAGATGTCTTGTCTTTTCATCTATATTTTAAACTATGATTGGCGAAGAAGCTTCTTCGCCAATAAAAACACACATAGCACGTAATGTGCGGCTCGTAAATCTAACAAGCTTATATACAACGTGATGGTGTCGTATTTTGTGCGTCCACGTATAAAAAAGTACGCCATTTAATATAATAAATATATTTTTAAGTATATCAAGCATTACATATTTTAAAAAATAATAAATTTTTAATAATATTATTTACTATATAAAAAATTTTGTTAAAAGATTACTCATTATAAAATAAATTATTTAAGAGTTTTAAACATTAATTTATATCGGCGGAAAAAATTTTCTGCTTCCGCTATTTTCACAACCAGCAACATCAGATACACAATCATTTTAAGTAACTAAATACCGATTTCCTTCTATCACCTATGGAGGCCCACCACCACCCTTCCAAGTTTGCACATCCACTGGGTTATATCGCGACTAGTAGATGAAGGAGTAGTATAGGGGGCCAAGGGGAGGCAGGATGGGTGACTGGCTACGGGGAGGATGTGTAGAACTACAGTAGTTACAAAAATACGAGCAACCTTCACAATACTTGTTGTTTACACTCTGTTGTTCTATGACAGACGCAGATACAGTAGCCGCCAAAAATTGGTCGCATGTTTTCACTTTTTGGAAACTTACGTCTGTGCATACTTCCGTATACCCCAATATACCATGTATGTTATATCATCTGAAAGCTTATTTCGAAAGCTATCAAATAATGTATGACACGCCCTGATTGGATGAATGTAGTTGCTACGACATGCGTTCAAAGTCAGACGGTACATGCGACCAATTTTGACGGCGATCATAACATAATATAAAGTAATGTTTATTTCAAGAATTTAATAGTTTGTCCAAC